GAGTCCAACAACTTTGAGTCCACTCGCGCCCAACTCACCGAGTCATCCCTTGACTCACCGATTCATCGACTCAACCAGAAATATTGGGACTTCCTCGACAAGACTCGCCGAGTCCAAATGGACTCGTCGAGTCCAAGGCTATCTTCAACCTACTCGCCGAGTTGTTCTTCCAACTCGTCGAGTTCCAGGCCATCTTCAAGCAACTCGTCGAGTCCACCCATGTGACTCGGCGAGTACCACTGGTCTGAATCCATACAGAAGCATCTCAGGCCATGCAATTGATCCAAAACATAGATCCAACCTCCTACAATCCATCCATCACGTAAAGTGGCAAACTTTACGTGAATCTAAAGAGATCTAAGCCTTATTCACCTTAGAACCAAGGTTTGGGACATGGTAGCTTCATTAACAACACAAGAACAGGGGCTTTAATGCTCTTAAGGTCTTCTCCACTCCAGATCTGAGGTAGCAACCTCAGATCCATCCTCCACATCAAAATGTCACACAACCAAGCACCCTACACAACCCCAAAATGAGAAACTAGGAAGATACAGCCCAAGAACGAAAGTATTACCTCCAAAAGATGCCTCAATAGCAACCAAACTCGAATCCAAGCAAAGCCCTTTGATCCAAGCCACTTCTCCTTCAAGATTCCTTCAATCAACACCTCTCCAAGCTCTAATTTGCTCCACAAATGGACTCTCCACAATTTAAGGTTTCTGGAACTCAAGGGGGGAATAAGGGAGGCTGTGGAGGGGTATAATGCTCTTTATATAGGGCTCAACCCCGAAAATTAGGGTTTTCTCCATACAGCACCTACTAGCCGAGTCCATCTTTGGACTCGCCGAGTAGGCCACTTGATACGCGACCATAGTCGCGACCTGACTCACCGAGTCTACCCATGGACTCGCCGAGTCACCCTCTAAAATTTACACTTTTAACCCTTCAACTCTACTCTTGCGATTCCGGGATGTTACACATTGATTATAATGTAACTAAAATTTTCACATTCACCATTCAACATCATAATTTCACCAAAATAAGTGTTTCTTCATATTACAAAATTTTAACATATCATAATCATTTACTTTTCTTTCCACCACCTCTAGAATAAGTTGTTTCCTTTTCAACCCTACAAGTAGCATGTCGCAAAATGCATGTCAGCCTTCTTAGGTCCTTGCATTGTGACCTTATTTATGACACTTAAAACATGTTATTAGATCTGAGTTTCTTGAAAGTTCATTATCTTTCACCGATTCCTCAACTCTTCCATAAATCTCAACTTCATAAGTGGTATTAGGCAACATGCTTCTCCTATCGATTAGATCAAACTTAAAACCAAATCAACAAAAAAAGAAAAACAATGAAGAAAGAGAATAAATGCATGAAAAACTAAGTTTTCTTGACTTCCAAAATATATGTGAAGATGAGAATCTATATGAAACTACTATAAGCCTATGGCACTATGATATAGGTTTTCTTGGTAGTTGAAAACATTTATGAGAAATGTGAAAGATGGAACATTTTATCCGAATTTAGTTTTATATATATATATATATATATATATATATATATATATATATATATATATATATATATATATAAATAAAAAAAATAAAAAAAAAACTCATTTCAAACTATAGAGTAATTAATTCATCACCACATCCCAACTAATAGTGATTAGTTTTATTGTGAAATTTCTTTTGATCGCTTACGTGAATCTATTACTTTGTTTCCTAACATTGAATCTTTTTTATATATTCCTTTACACTTATTCTATATAGGATCCCCATGAAATAAAATGTTGATGAAGCTTGGAATTCTAAGTAGATCACGAAATTTAATTTCATAATAATAATTATTCTTCTGATAAATAAAGAACATATAAGTAGTAGTTGTACAACATCAAAATTCTATTTCCAATCATGTATTTTACTGCATTGATCTAACTAAAGTGTTGAAAACATAAATAAATTTATAAGCTAACCTTTGAGACTTTAGAATTAAATCATTTCCTAGATATGAATTCTCCTCTATAGATCTTCTTACTTCCTCTAGCGACATGAGTTTTCTTTTCAAAATTTCATAGTAGAACTATAGAATGTATACTTAAATCATGATTGAGAAGTATAATAATATAATTATTGATTGTAAAACGTCTATATTACCATGTCCTTTCTTTCATTTCCATTGCTTCCACCACGCTTTCTTTTTTCAATTGTCTATCCTTTAAAAAAATTCAGTTTTTAGGGATCTATTGTAGCTTCACCAATAATATATAGAAGGATAATATATGAGTTGTTCAAATGGGTTGTACAAAAAAGTAATATAGAAACCAAAAAATGAAAATAGGAACTAGAAAGAGATTTAAGTCAACATGCTCAAGTAGTTGTTAAGATTTGGCTACATTAACATGGATTAGAGCTGATAATTCTCGACATGATCCACAACACGACACAAAATAAATGGGTTTGGGTTGAGCTTTTGAACCCGCCAACCCGCTGACCCACCTACCCGTTTATTAAAAGGGTCATATATGAGTTTCTCAAAAAATAAACGGGTTAACCCGCCAACCCATTTATATTTTTAATAAATTTTTATTTATTTTTAAATGTATTTATGTATCAAGTTTCAATATTTAATAAGTATTATATAATAAGTATTATTGATGTTTATATTAATGTGTAGTTTGAACATGTTTCTATGAATGTTTTTATTTTTCATTTGGATGTTTAGGACTTAAGTAGTTAAATGTCTAAAATTCGGATATGTTTTCATCAACCATCAAGAATTTATTCATGTTTCACGAACCCAAATCTAACCCACAACCTGTGAACCCGTATAAATAAATGGATTGGTGGGTCATATATGAGTTTATGCTCCAAACCCACCAACTCGTGACCTGTATATTTAATATGGGTCGTGTTTGGGTTGACATATTTTGACCTGCCAACCCATGACACGCTAACCCGAACACGACACGATTGTTAGGCCTAACATGGATAATAAAAACTTATTTTGTGTATTCAATAGACCATTACCAAGTTCACTCTTGATAATAGAATAGGGTGGGATTTACACTCGCCAACATACATCTACTTCTCTATATAAATGGTAAAGAAATCAAGGCTACCTTTTCAATGTTGTCAGTTTTAATATAATTCCAAAATGCTTAAATGCTTCTTTATTTCTTCCTCTAAATATGATGATGTAAGCCTTCCTTTGTTTTCGTTTGATCCTTCAACCTGCGTCACATTTTATGCCATTCATTTTCAGTCTTTTATTGCATACAAACAGTGCAATGAAAGAGCTAGGACAGTTACAAATTAGAATAATTGTTATTTAAAGCTGGACATTTCAACAAAATATTGTTTTTGTTATGAAATTTTTGTTTAGAACAAGAAAATCCCAAATCTATAGAGAAAGAACTAACATGATCGAGTGTTATGTCATTAATATGATGTGGTACTTCATCCAACTTGCATAGAACTCAATATTTATAAAATACTAAATAACATGCATGACTCTTATGTGCAAACGAGTTAAGTACTTCCACTAAAAGGGGTTAGAATTTCATTTTTTAGCTAGGAATTCAATCTAATAAACTAATTAATTTGCCCCTAGATATTTCTCATCTTAGTATATGTTTATGAAATTTGGTTTGATTGCTAACTTCTGATATCATTCATGAATTACTTCTAAAGAAGACATAACCTAGTTAGTACATTTGAAGTAGAAGGTGATTGTTCTTTACTCAAACTTTCAGTTCTAGGTAACATTTAAAATACATAATATAAGTTTTGATCAAGTTGTAATGAAAATCTACAGACTACGACCACAACTTATTTTGTATATTTTCTATAAATACTAAAGTGGCTATAAATGTATTAGGAAGTACCCAATTACATGTTCAGGATTTCAGTAAAAGATTAGCAATGCAGTTGTAATAACCATGGTATAGTTTTCTTCCATGTCATTGGTATGATGTTCTTGCATTAATAACAACCAACTTATTTCTTATTGATATATATATATATATATATATATATATATATATATATATATAAGGACACACACACACACACACACACACAAATATATATATATATATATATATATATATAGTAGAAATATGGATGATACACATCATAAGAAGAAAGATGGAATTAGGAAAAGCACCATATTTGCTAAAGCACACAACTAGAAAAACAGTCTTTTACGATGTGCAAACAATGACACGCAATTATTTACGATACGCAAAAGCGTGCGCCCTAAAAGAAATGTCATCTCTTCTAGAATTTGAAGGGTAGAGGATACACATTTGTGCGTGCCCTGAAATAAGTGTCAGAAAAGAAAAAAAATACAAACACGGAGGACGCTTATCTTAAATGTGTGTCCTCTTCAAATGTCGCTTTATATATATATATATATATATATATATATATATATATATATATATATATATATATATATATATATATATATATATATATATTGCTTAAATGCACGTTTATAAAGGGGGAAAACAAAATCGTCTGAGATTCTAAAATTTTGAAGAACCCCGCGTCTACCCTCTCTCCTCAGTATCTCCCTTCATTCACTCCTTCCTTCTCTCTCTGTAAACCCTAAGCCATCGCCACCGCCATTGAACCTTAAAAACTCAATCCACACTTCACCTTCATTCACTCAATCTGGCCGTTTAATTTTAGCAAACCCGCCAGAACCCTAAGTCTTGCCTTTTATGCTTTCACATCCTTCCTTCCCTAATCGTATGTTATTTTGAATCCTTATTTATTTTCTTTATCACAAACGCGCCTCTATCGCATCACTCTGCTCACCGTCGTCGTCTTAGGCCCTTACGCCTCCATCATGGTCTCTGTGCTGATCGCATCATCATACATGTCGCCTCTTCTCGTCATTCTTCTCCTTGAACCTATGCAGGTAATATTATCAGTACCTTCTTGTCCAACAACCCGTCAACTCCTCCATGCTTCCTCTTCATGGCTGCAGCAAACCCAAATCCTAAAATAGCTAACCTATGGCGAACTGTGATGGCGATTCATCGCCCAATGCCGACGACTATGACGACAATTCGCATTCAAGCTCTTGACCTAATACACTTCATCAGAGAAAGAGAAGGAAGATTCGATGAATTCAATCAAGCAGTCAATTTTTCACTTCTCGAGGTCTGTTATGATCTCTATCTTTTATCAATTTTGTTTGTAAATTTTGGTATGATGCTCGTTTCTTCAATTGCTTAGCAACATGGCTTTTAACATGTCATCATCATAACTTGATATGGATCAGGGAGATCTCTCCTCTGATGAGGGAGATTCTTGGGTTGGTTCCTCATGGCTAGATGAAATCATCTTCTCATATGAAATTGTTGTTTGTGTCTCATGTTCCTTATCATTTGAGTTTCATATATTATAGATTTCAAGTGGTACTGATTTATATAGTGTTTTCTATTTTATAATCTTTTTGGTGTTATGACAAAGCTGTAATATATTTCTCATAATGCTCTGGTGGCGAACACAGTGGCAAAACTCAAGTATGATCCAAATATCCCATATCCATTTTTCTTTCAGTTTACAACATCTTATATATATATATATATATATATATATATATATATATATATATATATATATATATATATATATATATATATATATATATATATAATGCAATTCTAAAAGATACTAAAGGGTACAAATGTTTGTTTCATGAATAGTCACTACTAGAAAAAAGGCTTTCCTTGACAGACATTATCTGTCGTAAATGCCTATACATGACATACAAATGTCTGTCATTAAAAGCCATGTCATAAAGGATAATGACATGCATTTGGCCCGTCATAATTTTTACGACAGATCTTTATGACCCATAGTTATGACATACATACACGGCACACGTTTTTGACATACATTTACGATTGGCTTTGTATGTCATAATTCATAACATTCTTGTAATTATGACAGACATTTATGACATTCTATATGACATGATTTTTGATAGTTTTACGACATTTTGTATGTCATGGCTATATATATATATATATATATATATATATATATATATATATATATATATATATATATATATATATATATATATATATATATATATTCTAAAGTTGTACTAAATATTGAACAAAATAAATTACACGTTTTATGTCTAATAATGCAAAATAAGATATCATACATATACAAAAATACATTCCATTACACTAACCATAATGTCAAAAGGTTCTCTTGCAATTTTGGTTTTCATTTGAAGTTTTTATAAGGTTTTGGTTCTGTCAGAATCACTGATTCTGGTTCCACCTTCGGATAGAATTAAACTCTGTTTATTTGGCATCAGAATGGAATCACATATTCTAATTCCGTCGGAATCTTGAATTCCAGTTCTACCCTCATACGTTTCGTATTATCATTATCATTATATACTAATAAAGCTAGCATTTTTCCTTGCACAATATTCATTTCAAACTCCCATACATTTTTCCTTCCACCACATTCATTTGAAACTACTATGACTTTTTAATTTCTTTCTAATAATAATTATAATTTTGTTAATTAGGTTAAATAAATATCAAATCTTAACTATAATCATACATAAACTAAATTTTAATGTTAAAATAATATATTTACTTCTTATAAAGTTATGTTTTTTTATCCCTTAACATATAATACTTAATTTATTAGTTTTAATATATTGTTAAATGTAAACCATTATCATTTTAAAGATACAATTTTGGAACAATTTGTATAAAATACTTAAATTTTTATTTTAAATATATAACATTACAGTGTAAACTTAAATACAAATTTTAGTTTAATTTAAACAACCCAAATAATATTTTGTAAATATTTAAAAGTGATAAATTTTAGTGTCTTTCTAATAATTATTATAAGTTTGTTAATAATGCTAAATAAATATCAAATCTAAAGTGTCATCATAAATAAACTAAATTTTAATTTTAAAATAATATATTTACTTTTACATATAAAGTTATGTGTTTAACTTTTAACATATTATACTTGATTTATTAGATTTAATATGTTGTTATATGTAAACAATTATCAATTTAAAGCTACAACTTTTGAACAGTTTGGACCAAATACTTAAATTGTTAACTTAAATATAACATTATAATGTCGACTTTAATATAAATTTCAGTTCCATTTAAAAACCAAAGAATATTTTGTAACTAGTTAAAATTGATAAATTGTAGTGATAAATATAAAAACTAAATTGTAATCTCAATTTAACTAAAATATTTCCTATGGATATTTTTGTAATCGTTAAAAGTCTTCAAACAAGTAGCTTAAAATAACTTACAATAACAATAGTTAAAAATAACTCTATATAAATGATTATATTGTTAACTTATAGTATATATATATATATATATATATATATATAGGTTTAGGTTCATGTGAGACGGCCTAATTTTGTAAGACCGTGAGACGCATTTTTTTATTTTTTTTAATTTTTTTAGTTAATTCAAGTTCTTAAAATAATATTTAAAAAAAGAATTTTTTGATTTTTTTATTTATTTTGCATTTTAAAATTATTTTTAGAATATGTACAGTGTAATATTCTATTTAGAATATTTCACGTATTTAAAAAAAAAAAAAAAAAAATTTTATTTTTTTTAGTTAATTCAAGTTCCGAAAATAATATTTAAAAAAAGAATTTTTAGATTTTTCCATTTATTTTGCATATTAAAGTTATTTTTTAGAATATGTCAGTGTAATATTCTATTTAGAATATTTCACGTATTTTTCAAAAAATAAAAAAAAAAAACGGGATTTTTTTTTATTTTTTTTAATTTTAATTTTATTTTTTTTAGTTAATTCAAGTATAATATTCTATTTAGAATATTTCACGTATTTTTCAAAAAAAAAACGGGATTTTTTTAATTTTATTTCAAAAAAAAAACGGGATTTTATTTTTAAAAAAAGATTTTTTTTGATTTTTCCATTTATTTTGCAACTTAAAATTATTTTTAGATTTGGTTTCACGGTCTCACAAAATTAGAATGATCTCAAATGAATCTGAATTAACTATATATATATATATAATTCAAAATAATCAATATATTATATCAATTTAGTATACAAATTATTATATCAAATTTAACAACATTATTGTTATATTTAAAAAAAACATATATTTGTAAAGACTCTAACTATATAGGTGTTTTTGCGCAACGCGCGTGCACTCGCCTAGTTGTTGATTGTGACAAGCGTGGTTTAGCAACACATGACCACTTTCCACAAGATCCTTACTGATATACACCAGATTCATAGCTTTTGCTAAGTCCTCCAAAACACAAGCTTCCGAACCCCGCAACTTCAAAATATAATTCCATCAATTCCAACACCGATGCTAAGCCGACATCCGAACCTTCCAACCCTAAAATTAACTAATGGTATTTTAGTAATTTCATATCACTCTAAAACACACAAACACACACACACACACACATTTTATATGTAAAGGGTATTATCAGGATTTCGATAAAAAGTCGAAACTACTTGATCAATCAAATCTTTTGCAGCATTTGATATGTCAATCATAACTTTACAAGATGGAATAGTTGTACTCGATGCATAGTCTCTTGCAGCTAATGGTTGTTGATAAGTTTGGTAATTGTAGACACGACACGAAATAAATAGGTTTGGGTTGAGTTTTTTCATCCCGCCAACCCATTTATTAAACAGGTCATATATGGGTTTCTCAAAAAATAAACGAGTCGACCCGTCAACCCGTTTATATTCTTAATAAAAAATTATTTTATTTTTAAATGTATTTATATATCAAATATTAATATTTAATTAGTATTATATAATATATACCATTTGATTCATAGACCATTTGATTGTTATGACATTTTGACTCGTGGTGGATGGTCTAAGGTTGTAAGTCGTAACCTATAAGGCTAAGTCTGTAACATGTTTCTATGAATGTTTTTAATTTTTATTTGGATGTTTAAGACTTAAATGTCTAAAATTCAGATTTGATTTCAACAACCACCAATAATTTATTCATGTTTAATTGTCAATTTTATTTATAAAATCTGACCTACAAACCCAAATCTAACCCACGAACGTTCCAACCTGTGAACTCGTGTAAACAAATGGGTTGGTAGGTTATATATGGGTTTATGTTCTAAACCCGTCAACCCGTGACCTGTATATTTAAATGGGTCGTGTTTGGGTTGGCATATTTTAACCCGCCAACCTGCAACATGTCAACCCTAACACGACACGATTGCTAGGCCTAGTTGTTGACTTGATCCATTTTTCCACATGTGCATATTCTTATCACCAAATACATATGTAATTATGGTGTTTGTATCATCCAACATATGCATATGCTTCACAGGACGCTGATAAAAGTCCAAAAAGAAAATCATCGGAATTACAGTAATCACTTTAAAAATGTGCATACAAATGGTAGGAACAGACAACATCTATGGAACACTTAAGTAGTTCTTCTCCATCATCTAAGGTGAGAACTATGATCTTGGTATTTGATGCAACTAATATTTATCATCTATCATTACAAGAAAACAACCGTTAGAAGAAAAAGGTTAAGACAATTTAACGACCATGTGTTGGGAAGACTCACCAGAAAAATATACAGATGAAGAGATAAGTTTCTTTAAGATTTTCATTTCTTTTAATAGTTCACCAGTTTCAGAGTTCAATTTGCATGTTGTTCCATCCGTACTTATATCATAAAGTTTACGCCCTTTGTTTGCAAAACAAAGAGCAGCAATTCTACTGCACATGGAAAAGTTATGAGTTTCAGGTATTACTCCAAATATGGTTTATTTTAACCATCAATAATCAAAAAATTTATGATCGTGATCATCTTATTATTTGCTTAAATATCAACCTAAAACCCCGGTGAATGCAATATTCTTCACCTGAACAACAAAAGAGACTAAGATTAAAGAATATGGTTTGTTAATAGTAAACAAAGTTGAAGCCAATTATTTTCCAAATTCCAATAATAACCCTTGACAGCTAGGAAAATTGAATTACCTGCACAAGCAATCCAACTCCTAGTCTAGTCTTGATATCAAGTATTATACTAGGGTTTCCATCCCAATTCATTTCCAACTGCATGGTTATTCCTTCACCTCCATCTTCAACAGTTGAAACTCCTAAACAATATAATCAAATGATAATTAAGAATCAAGTTATGTGGAATCTTCTTACTATGAAAGGGTAAATGCAAATGGTAATACTATCAATTAGCCTAGCCACAGTATACTTAGGGGCCATCGTGCCGAGGGTAAACTTGGAAAATGACAAAAAGGACAACACCATTGGTCTGTATTGTTCAATAGTTGGCTCCAAATTAGCCATTATAAGCTCAGATGCTGCCTACAAGACAATCCAAAAACACATGATAAGCATATTAACATAATGATGATGAATAGAGGGTTTTAAAATTTAAAACTGACCTCATCAACATAGGGCCAGATCTTTGTAAGATGAGCATTAAGCCAGGTCAACTGAAAGATTAAGCAAAATAATCAGTCCCTGAAGAAGATAAAAAGAAAGTGGAGAGAAAGTACTTAAGCAAGAAATACTAAAACTGTAAGAAAAAAATCACGTTAGTTTATTTAAAGTGTAATAAATCACTTTAACCGCATGTTGCTTCTAATTTCAGTTTATACTAAGCCACACACAAAAGAAATACTAAAACTGTAAGAATCGAACAAAACAGCTTGCATCCATCATTTCGTTCTTCATCTTCCCTGTCAAATACCAAAACCCAAACAATAAACCTAAACATCCAAAATTCTTTCTTTCTCACCGATTTCAGCCAAGAACACAAGAACACTTTGTTCTTGTTATAGGGTATACCTGAAAATAGAAACAACAACATCACATTTTTTATTCCTTCCTTGTCAAACTAAAACCAAACATCAAACACATACATATGTATTCTTCATCTTCTTCCAGTCGATTTCAAGGAACCCAAACACCCACTTTGGTTATATCCACTACTGTTAAACAATAAAGTCAATCCAAAACCCCATCAATTTCCATCAAAATTAAAAAAAATGAATGAATGAAGGAGCTACAGAAGCATCCCCATACAATTACCTGTCTCTTCGTGAACCACCGCAACTTAGTTCTTCTTCTTTTATCGTGCACCACTGCCAAAACCCCCCATTGGAGCTTCTGTTTCCGCTTGCCTTCCTCCAGCAGGCCAAATGTCCTCCTTCCCGTCGACCAAATGCCTCTTCATCTTCGCGACCAGCCCAAGGACCGAGACCTCCTTTGCCCTTGCTTCTCACGTCCTTCTTCGGTCTAGTCGACCACCAGAGCTCGCCACTCGAGTGCGATGGGTCTGAAATCGTCAGACGAGAAAGAGAAGGCATCATTGCCTTCGTCTCTTCTCCCTCTTCGCGGTTGGTTAGGGCTTCCGGATTAGCCGCTGTGAGCCTTCGCTCTCCTCTCTTCCCCGGTCGAGCAAGACGCCGACGACGGCCTCTGACGACGCCCAGGCTACCGATTGTTGAAGAACCATCGAACCCCTCCCATTTTTCGTGTTTCCTTCGCGTTTTCCCAGTCACTATGATCGTTCGTAAGCTCATCCGTTTGTAATTGTATGCCCCTTTTCTTTCCCGATCGTTGAAGTCATGGACAATTAAAAGCCCTAAATTTTCCTTAGTTTATTCTTTTCAGCAAATACAGTCCCTCCATGATATTTCCTTTTATAAAAGCCCTAAATTCATTTTGCATTTATAAAATGAGCAAAATACACCCTCACTTGATCCAGTTATACAAAATGAGTATCGATCAGAGAGAGAGCCGAGTAATGTGGCGAACATAGGAAAAATAAGGAAGTGAGTCATATGTGCCGGTTGAACCAAAAGTGAAAATAATGCAAACAATATAAAACATGGATAAATTATAGCAACGGAGCAAAATAAGGTGATCAAAATATCAACAACTAAAAAACAAGGACAGATTATGGCAAAGGAGCAAAGTAATTTGGTCAAAATATGAAAGACAATAAAATATGATAAATTATAGCAACCAAGCAAAATAAGGTGATCAAAATATCAAAAACCGAAAAACATGGACAAATTATAGAAGGAAGCAAAGTAATTTGTCAAAATATTAAACAAAAGAAGTAAAGTGTTCTTAACTATGTTAGGAATTAAAGTAATATATATATATATATATATATATATATATATATATATATATATATATATATATATATATAATATATATATACAGGGGCGGATTTAGGGGGGTTCCGGGGTGGCACCGGCAACCCCTAAATTTTCCGGCCGTAGTGGAAAAATTTTCGAAATTTTTTTAAAATTTTTATTTTTTCTACTATCGTGTAACCCCTAATCTTCCCGTGCAACCCATACTATGAAATCCTGCGTCCGCCCCTGTATATATATATATATATAATGTTTTTTCCATATCCTATAACTCATAAAAAAGAAAGAGTAAATTACATGAATGGTCCCTATGGTTTAGGGTAATTTGCACGTTTGGTCCCTAACTTATTTTTTTAACTCGGAAGGTCCCTACTGTTTGTTTTTGTTACGCGTTTGGTCCCTGTCTTACATAAAAAGTCTATTTTTCCCTTTATTTTTTAATTTATTTAAATAAACACACCCCTAATCTCACCCTTCTCACCTTACCTTACGTACCGCATTATTTTTTCCTATTTAAATAATAGTCTTTTTAGGTATGATAGGGACCAAGCGCGTAACAAAAACAAACAATAGGGACCAGACACGTAATAAAAACAATCAGTAGGGACCTTCCGAGTTAAAAAAATAAGTTAGGGACCAAACGCGCAAATTACCCCAAATCATAGGGACCATTCATGTAATTTACTCAAAAAGAAATCAATTCATACATGAAAATGCTCCTTATTTCTTTTTTATTTAAAAATTAACAAATTAACATACGACATAAATGTATGACAGACAGTTTTGTATGTCATAGATCATTTATATTTTACGAAATATGACAGACTTTAATGACAAACATTTTTATATCTGTTATAAAAGATTTGTACGTCGTAATTCGCCTGTCAAGGAAAGTATTTTTTCTAGTAGTGAGCAACTGTTGTTGTTCTTCTTCTTCTAGCTGTTGCACTCCTATGTGCATATGAACTATATGCAGTTTATGTTATAGCTAGTTCAACTGCCCCACAACGGTATACAAATCATGTTTTCTTATTCTTAATTGTGTGCTCAAATCATTATAGGAAACGGTTTGGATGTTGATGAATACGTTAGAAGTGCATACAAATTTGCTTATTCTGACTGTATTGAAGTGGGACTAGTTGCATGTTTACCAGAACCACCAGATCCAAATGACTTATATCCTCGACAATCTAGAAGACAAGTACCCTTTGTTCCTTTTTCAATCTTCTTATAAAAATAGCATCTATTCATACATTTACATGGTCTTTTCACAATCTTTCTATATTATTTGTCTTAACAACAAAGGAATCAAATTGGCTTGGAGCTATCACATCAGCTGTGACATTGGCTGTTGCTCAGAATGTATTTTAATATTCTATTTGTATTTTATTTTTTGATGTTCATCTTTCTTAATAAATAGTTTTTAACATTACACCCAACCATGTTATAGGTCTTCAAAGGCTTGTATGAAAATGCAGCAAACACAGCTCATGTTAGTGCTCATCTTGCCATGTTAGCTTCAATCTGTGATGCTAGCAAGCTTAAGGTATTCTTGAAAATATTTCCCAATATGCTACCTTTTACTTTTCTGGATAAGACGAAAGAACAAATATCTTAATTGAAAGAGGAAATATTGGGATTTCCTCATGACTTAATCCCATGTGGTTATAATTGACTTTTCTCTTTTGTTTTTGGATAGTTTTCTTTTTATTCTTTGTTTTGATGCTGTTTTTCAATGTAACGACCAAAATATCAATTAAATTTAAACTTTTCAAAAACATCCCAATTCATTAAGTTATTACATAAAGGTTTTCAATACATTTACTATCAGAGTATTCCCAAGTCCATTTCATAAAACATAAACACGAGGAGCGGTACGATCACGCCTTTGCCTTGCCACAGTCTCCTGAAGAACCTGAAAAACATTAAACCACAACTGTAAGCCCGAAAGCTTAGTGAGATACCCCCAAAATACCAACCACATATACCATACACATAACATGTTATATCATAACGAATCACAGAACAGCCATGCATATCGGGTCTACTGTGAGACTGGTCCGCCGTGTCGGGCCTTCAGTCCACCCTCCTAGTCCAGTCATGTCCCTCGAGTCTGCAGTGTGGTTGGTCCGCCCGCACCGGGCCTTCAACCCACCTGGTCCACTCTCTGAGTCTACAGTATGACTGGTCCGCCCGCATCGGGCCTTCAGTCGGCCTGGTCCACTCTCCGAGCCTCGGCACGTCTGGTCCGCCCTCGTGGGGCCTACAGCCTATCCGGACCGCTCGCTGGGCCTTCGGAACAACCGGTCCGCCCTGGGTATCTTGGCCTACAGCACGAACAGGACCCGCCTCAACCCAACTCCAGTCCAAACAACCATGTGCACATAAACATACAATCACATAACAATTCATATTCAGTCAAACCGATCTAGCAGATCACATAACACAACATACTCTAACAGGATACCGACCTAACCGGTCACTAGCATAGCATCATCCTATATACCAGGATACCGACCTTAACCAGGTCTCTAACGAATACCATCCTAACTACCCGGATGCAAACATATCAAAGCAATAACATAACAACAGATACCCGGATCTCAATCCGATAAAGGGCCGGCCTTGGTGCCTTAGACCCTGTTGATATAGTGAGGATAACTCACCTCGCAACTACTGACTGAAAGGATAAGATCACGCTGCTGAACTCCGACCCGAACTCCACCACTGCTAACACCAAACACAAAACCAACAATTACCAAAATGCCCCTGGAAGTCAACTGGTCAACTCTTGGTCAAAGTCAAAGTCAAAGTCTACCCCTGACTGACTCTACTCGCCGAGTCAACCCGATGACTCGCCGAGTCCCCATACACAGAACCTCCTTCAATTCGCGACTTAACTCGCCGAGTCATCCCTTGACTCACCGAGTTACAGCCTTCTCAAAAGAAACTTGGACCCTATGACCAGAATCGCCGAGTCCAAGAACAGACTCGCCGAGTCTACAACTATCTTCAACCTACTCGCCGAGTTGTTCTTCCAACTCGCCGAGTTCCAAGCCATCTTCATCCAACTCGCCGAGTTTTTCTTCCAACTCGCCGAGTTCCAGTCTTTCTTCAAGCAACTCGCCGAGTCCACCCATGTGACTCGCCGAGTACCACCGGGTCTGAATCCATACAGAGGCTTTCCAAGCCATGCAGATGATCCAAACCATAGATCTACCTCCTAAGGCCATCCATCACGTAAAGTGGCAATCTTTACGTGAATCCAAGAAGATCTAGGCATTTTCACTCTAGGGTTTGGGTTTGGGACAAGATAGCTCCATCAATCTCTCAAATACAGGGACCTTTATGCATTCAAACCCCTTCTCCATTCCAGATCTGAGGTAGCAACCTCAGATCTAACCTCTAAACTCCAATACATCAAAAGATATGATCTCTAACACCTCCAAAAATGATGAATCTAGATAATAGCAGCTCAAACAATGAAATAATACCTCAAAAGGAAGCTCCAAGAGAAGATTAATCCGAATCCTTGCAAAGCCCTTTGATCCAAGTCCCTTCTCCTTCAAGATTTCTTCAACAAGCACTTCCCCAAGCTCCAAATGCACTCCAATCCTCCACAATCACGTATCTAGGGTTTCTGGACTTCAAGGGAGATCAAGGAGGCTGGAGAGAGGGTATAATGTCCTTTAAATAGGGCTCATCCTCCAGATTTAAGGTTTTCTCCACTCAGCACCTACTCGCCGAGTCCATCTTTGGACTCGCCGAGTAGGCCACTTAACACGCGATCAAAGTCGCGACCCTACTCGCCGAGTCCACCCATGGACTCGCCGAGTTGCCCTTATACAATTTCACTTTTAGCCCTTCAACTCTACTTTTGATATTCCGGGATGTTACAATTCTCCCTCACTTAAATTAGGCTTCGTCCTCGAAGCCTGCGGCAACTTAATTCTAGAAATTCTCTCGCATTACAACTCCAGGCATTAACCCAGCCAGTTTCCCCAAAGCACAACCATGGAAACCAAAAACTCACTTTCTCCTTTCTCGCGGTGTCCTGACCACCGTCACAAGCTTGCCACCGGCTTCACCCTCTGATAACTACACCTAACAACTGAGTACCACCCATGATGCAACACTGCTCCAAATCACAACCATCACTCGTCCCATATGAGCTATAAATAGCTATATTCCACCGGATTCCCGATCCGAGTCCAACTCTATCCATTCCATGTTGACAGAAAGACACATTCTTCAGAGAAACTTCCACGAGTTCTCCTTTTGCAATTACCTGCACATGCTGAACTAGCTCTAGCACCCTTGGGTTAGGAAAACCCATCACACTGACGACCCTCAAAACATCCCTCAGGATGAACCACTACTACATACACAATTCCTTCACTGAAATCAAGTTGGGA